TTTATTATCATGTATATTTTTTTTTCAGTTTTTGTTTATATTTTTGGCTGATAGAATGTAATTCTTTACTTCATTCAAATTAAAATGAAAGTAATATACAAATTTCACTACCGTTCACTAACGTGCTTATGACTTTTTACTGTTTTATGGTCAAATCTATAAAATATTCTTTTGGAAAAAAGTATATCGTTCTCTGTATCAAAACCTTGCCAAGTCTAATAAGACAAGCATAGTTATCTGCTGATCTGTTTTTACCTCTCTAAAATTTACCATTTCCTCCCTAAAGATCAGATAAAATCAAATTTAAGTAAGAAAAATTTGGCAAAATAAGTTTTTGAGTAAATATGGTGGTGCAATTATGGGTCTTAAATGTTTAACGCTTTGCCGCCCGGTTGCTGAAACACTGATCAGCGTAGAAGTCAACTAATCAGCTGTCAAATGGCAAAACGAACTACGAACAATTAATTCATAAGGTAATTATTACATACCTACGTTAAAAACGTCCTATATAATTTGACCAAACAATAAGCTATAATTCGATATATTCTATACTTTTGATATATTTAATTAATTAAGGACTACGGACACTTTCAGTATTGCAACTCTGAGCAATAAATTATATAAAGTAAAAATAATAACTAATTATAATAAATAAAATAAATAATTAATAATAAACAAATTCGGTGTGTATTTAAATTTTAAGTTGAAACACACAAAGAATTTATGTACACAAATCTGGAAAAAAATAAAATTATGGCTCCGCATACCTGGTTCATATTATAAGGGCACGAATATTGATTTTAAGGAATAACATAGCGTTATTTTTATATAGTTTTAATTTGAATAATAAAGTGGATATTTGTATTTATTTATTGAACATGACAAACAGAGGTGTTGTTTTATTACATCAAGCACTTTAAACTTATATCTTCATTAAACAGCAATAAACGTAGATAGGTTTAATATGAATGATTATTTAATGAACAACAGAAACAATTATGATTGACATCGTCGGCTAGCTTCTTATCCAAAGTTTTATATTTATGTTTATGTTAATATAACACCGAAAAAACTGAATATGACGACTTCACGATCTGAAAAGAAAATATGAAGATGAGACAACAAGTGTTGATTGCATTTTTAAACTACTTGAAACTTATGTGAAATTGAATATGAAAATCTTATATAAATATTAACTTTTCGCCCGTGGCTTCACTCGCGTTGAAGCCCTTAAATAAATATCTTTCTTTAACCTTTCAAACCCGTACAACACTTTTTTCCAATTAAAAAATAGCCTATGTCGTTTCTCAGGCTCTAGACTATCTGTGTACCAAATTTCATTTAAGTCGGTTCAGTAGTTTTAGCGTGAAAGCGAGACAGACAGACAAAGTTACTTTCGCATTTATAATATTAAGTTTGGATATTAAGAATATAAAAATCTTTGCTCACCGATAGAAATGACTGGTATGATAGTTCGATGAGATAAAACGCCTTCAGTACTACGGACTTCTAAAAAGGTTAACTATAATTAATTTAAATCGACGTAAAATGACATGGAATCGGTATGTGAACAAAAGTGACACCGTGTTTTTTGGTATTTAGCACCAGCCTATGGTCAAATAGATAAATTAAACTAAAAAGTTATTGTTGATGTAGTACTTAGCAGCTTTTAGTTTAATTAACTTAATCAATTGTGTGAGTGGAACATTAAAAGGTCAAAATAGTGAATCATTTTTTTACTGACGAAAAACAAAACCACAAACTGTATTCATATTATAATTGATTTTCAAGATTTCGCTAAGTATTTCCGGAGCTATAAGATCCAATGTGGTGAAGATGATGATCCAATGAAATTAATATAAGACCACATGGGAAGCGCCAACTTTCAAATAAAAAAAGAATCATGACTCGGTTCTCTTAGTCAAAAGTTCTGAGTTAACAAACATAAAAAAAAAAAAACAGGCCAATTGAGAACCTTTTTAAAGTCGGTTAAAAATTGGCTCACCTGCCCTTGAGTCATTGCCAACAAGAGAAGTTTTCTTACTCTTTTATTAGCACTCCCGCGGCAGTAATGCCATCCCGAGCTATACATCGCTGTTGGCAACGACGCTGCCTGCAAATTGAAGAGAAAGTTGATGTATTTTTAAGTATAATTTTTAAGTTGTCTTAAAAATCTTCACTCGTGTAACAACAAGTTTGTCTTCTCAAATCTTCACTCGTGTAATTTGCAAGTAAAAGTTAAAGCTATGCCAGTTACTTTTAATAGATTTCGTAGATGCTCTCATGGTTAAAAGTTGGATCTATTTGTTATCTATACAGGGTGGCTTTTCTAAAGGTGCCCAAATTTACACAGGAGGTTCTGACTCGGTAGTATAATCGTTTATTAAAATAAAAACAAACTTATTTTTTCAAAACTTCCCTAAAAACAGAACTTGTTGACAATGCGGTAGCCATAAATGCATCGTATACTTTGAAACGAACTTGTGTGCGTGTTAGTCATGAATTATCGCACGTGAAATAAATGTGTTGCCCATAAATCACGCACTTTTTGAGATAAGTTCAAATGAATGTAATCAATTCATTAAATATTTATCATTTTTTATATAACATTATTTATGTCTAGAATTTCAAAAATCATTTAAAAAAATGGATACACTTAGAAAAGCCTCCCTGTGTATTGCATTAATAATGGCTTATTTAAATTTGATCTGATTTGATTTCTTTTTCTTTGTGGAATTCATCAATGATATTATATCCATCTTGTCCATTTATTACGTGCAAGATTACTTATTACATTTTGGATGAACAAGTTCGGTATAACATGAGTAGGTATAAGTAAATCTGTGAATCGTCGATTGAAGGGTTTTTATCTAGATTCTATTCATAGAAAATTTTGTTACTGACTTCGATGGTTATATCCCCGGCGTTACACATGAAGATGCCGGTAGTGCTTAACACTGCAGAGCTCATGCTGATCGTGGCCAGAGCGTTCAGTAGTGTTCGCTCGCTGTCCTGATTTATTTACAAAATATTTTAGGAAAGGATAAAATTCAATAACGCAATAGAAATAATATAAAAGGAATGGGTTGATAAAGGCACTGCATAAGACGAGCAAAGGTGAAAAATGAAGAAGACATAAAAATTATACACGTTTAAGTACGTCGACATAAACACGACAAAATCGGATCTTACCACCATCTGCAGCATTAAGATGATTAACGCTATCATATTCATTGTGATTTGAAAACTGTACGCTGGGCCAAATATTTGTTGTACACTCTGAGTGCATCTGAAATCACGATTATAATGGAGCCAAGTTGCATTCGAAAAGTGATATGAGTTCTCTCCGTAACGAGAAGCTGGTTGGAGCTAGGAAATTAATTATTGTTAACGTATTTATTTGTGAATCTCATGTTAACCTTTCAAGATGATTAAGAAACTATGAAAGTTCCTAATTTATTTGTTTTTATGTTCCTGTGTCCAGTTCTCAATGTATATATTTTTTCCTCCTTCCCATAAAATCTACAAATACAATTATTATGAATAACAAAAGTAGTAATGATGAACTCTAGTACCCTCTAATACCCTCTGTACAGTAGACCCCACTACAGATTGGCGGACTTCAGATAGAAATATTGATATTTACTTTTTTGGTTATTATTTCGAAAATATGCAGCCTCTCATTTAAATATCATTGGTGAAGGCACCCGGGATCGAACTCAGGTTGCTCGTGTATATTGAATAAAAATTGAGCGCCCAGACAATAAGTTATCACGGCTCAAACTCAAATTTTCTTTATTAGGGTTCCGTACACAAAGGGTAAAACGGGACCCTATTACTAAGGCTTCGCTGTCTGTCTCTCTGTACGGGTGTCACCAGGTTGTATCTCATGAACGTGATAGTTAGACAGTTGAAATTTCACAGATAATGTATTTCTGTTACCGTTATAACCACAAATAATAAAATACGGAATAAAAAAATTACTTAAACCAACTTAAACATTACACTTAATTTTTTTTAATCTGGTATGGGTACAACAGACATGAAATCTTGCCGTTTTTATAGATAACTAGTTTTTCGCCCGCGGCTTCGCTCGCGTTGAAGCCCTTAAATAAACATCTTTCTTTAACCTTTCAACCCTTTACAATATTTTATTCCGATTAAAAATAGTCTATGTCCTTTCTAGAGCCCCTCTAGACTATCTGTGTACCAAATTTCATTTAAATCGGTTCAGAAGTTTTGAGACACTGACAGAGTTACTTTCGCATTTATCATATTGGTATGTATGGTACGGACACTTCGTGCGCGAGTTCGAGTCGCACTAGGCCGGTTTTTCAATATAGGCTTGTTCAAAGGTTTTATTGAACGACCAGAAACTACCACCGATTCACTCAACCAGCCTTTGTTAGAACAATTCCTTAAGATTATTTTTGAGTTAAGTTACTTTTTACATAAACATATAATTGAGGAGTGTTTTAAGTTGCCAATTAATAATTGGCAACTTAAAATTGGCATTTTTCGCGACGATGGTAAGAGACCCGACGGTTTAACATTGATCTTTTGGGAGAGAGGCAAAGCCCTTGTTTGGGACGCTACTTTGGCTGCCTCTCATCTAAGGGGTACTTCGGTCAGGGCCGGGAATCGGAGGCAGCTGAAGTAAGTAAATGGCGCAAATATGAGTCTTTATGTTTAGATTATGTATTTGTGCCATTTGCTGTTGAAACATTAGGTCCGTGGGGACCCCGCACATCAAATTTTTTTAAATGTTCATGTCCTAGGCTTAACGCCACGGCTGGTGACAAGAGAGCTGGTTCTTTTCTCGCTCAAAGGTTAAGGCATAACTATTCAGCGAGGAAATGCAGCTAGCGTTCTTGGCATGACGTCCATGCCTTAGGATTAGGTTTATTAGATAATATGTAATTTTAGATAGATTTAATCTTGTACATATTAGATCAATAAATATTGTACTCTAACCTATTAATAATTTCATGTTGAACTCACTGCAATGATTCCGAATGCATTTTAATGCCGAACTTAAGGGCTTTTTCGTATTTCTCTTCCTTTTCGTCCTGATTAAGGTTTTTCTCAGAGAAAATCGCTTCGAGCTTGTAGAAGTAGCTCTGTAAGTTCTTGTACTGGTGGCTGAGGCAGATCGTCAAGGATATGACAGTGACATATGCTGCACAGGTGCGAATTATCAACATCCACCAGGTAACATAGCTTAATCCTCTTACCACATTTGCCAATTGGCTCCTATCGTTCACATCTGGCCATGCCGTTATCACAGTGGTAAAAGACAAATCTGAAATTTTTGTTATTTATACATGAAGTGATGTGAGTTTGAGTTCTGTTTAAAATAACTAATCTATCACTCATATATCTTTTTTTAGCTTATTACACAATATCATCTAAGCGAAATTAATTTTTAGATACATTTGTGTCTGAAACCATCGGTATTATCACTTCGATTGTATCATGAACTTTATCATTTGCATTACTTGGACGCATGTATATGTTTCATTCTAGAATACCTGACTGAATTACTTGTATAACGCCATCAACAGCATACGATACCATCGTGACAGCGCAGCTAAGTACACTTGCGACCGAGAATTGCTTAGCTTTCCTCAGCATCTGGGCTTCCACCGCCAGATCATTGTACAATTCCCTTGAAGCGCACATCTGAAAAGTGATCTCCTTGACTTTGTCCTTATGGTGAGCCACGGTCACCCAGAACGCGTAAAGCAGCGGATGTGAAGTGCAGAAAATCAAACGATCGAAACTTTGTTTCTCGCTCAGATCATTTTGCGTGAAAAGCGCACCGATTTCTGCTAATACGAACGCCGAAAAACAGAGTGTAATCAATTTCACTAGAATCTCGAAGGCCCTACACGCGAACAGACGTGGAAGTTTGACATCAGTTATCCAGAAATTGGGTAGACCGCAAACCACGGCGCCTCTGTTGATCATATAAAAGAATCGGGAGGTTTTCGTCCCAAGAAGTGTTGACGATGGCGTCATGGCTCTTGACAATGCAGTCCAAGAATGACATCGTCGACTGCGTTGTAATTTACGCCCTTAATAATTTAGCAAACGATAATCGATATTGTTGTAAGTCTCGAACTAACTTTGCTCTCACAATCAGGGATGGATTGCATGGTGTACGCAATAACTTTAAAAGTATGAAAGTACAATAACTTGTTTGTTTATCACAGTTTACTGAAATTTGATTTCGTTCATTATACTCTTTTCGCGATCATCTTACTTGAAAAGTTTTTCACTTGAATTGTTATAGGTTATAACTAAAATTATACTTTTGCGAGTTGCGATAGGGGTTTTGCTCAGCTGTCTTTGAAACCATAAATTAAAATATGAAATTCTATTAAACGATTGCATAATAAAAAAGTACATGCAATTCTCAATGTATTTCATCTACTTTTCATTTGATTTACATACTTTTCATGATTTTCGATTAGTAGCATGAGCATCTGGCTCATATCCCGGAGGACACTGGTTCAAATCTAATGAGTTGTGGTGGAAAACTGTTCTGCTACAAATTTTATATAAAATCTTAAGTACAGAGAATGGAACTATTTAAAAATGCATTAAAAAGTGTGTAAGGATCGGCAATCCACAATGGGGTCACGTGGTAAACTATGCTTTAAAAACCTTTGTACAGAGGAGGGCTGTGCCCAATAGTGGGACATATATTGGTAAAACATTGGAGCATTGTTACTGTTTTATTACTCTGTTACAAATGAAAAAAAAATCCAGTCTCGTTATACACTCGGTGGCACAGTTGCTAAGCTGTCTGCTCTGTGGCTTTTGCCGCGGGGGCTATGGGTTACTCCACGGGACGTCTGGGTGTTTATTCCACAGTAGGGCTAACATGGACACGCCTATACCATCATCACATGATTGAAATGTTGGGCCCATGATCTCATGATTCTAAGTGCTAAAAGTATACATGCATATTTACTGCTGTGCTTGTGCTAATCAGCAGCTTCCGCTGTTGCACGGATAAGCAGACTCATCCGGGTAAGTCAAGACACACAAAGGACGGGCTTGAAATGTCACTATTGCAATTTTACGTTAGGTCTGGTGGCTGAAGTAACCGGGGCAGATGTCTTTGAAGGCTATGGCCGGCTTTAATCATTTAATAGTAAGAGCCTGCTCGTTTGCCACCACAAAATTGAGCTCTGACTACCAAACGAGTGCGACTAGTGAGCTAAATCGTCATACTGATATTATCTTAGTTGTTTGGCCTGTATAAAATATTTTCGATGAGAGTTATACATACATAAAAAATGTGAAAATTATTATACATGCAGAATTAAAATCATGAATCCATATTTAAAGAAGAACATTTTGAAATACGGTTAGATGCTTTATTATAAATATTCTTATTTGTAAAAAGCAAAAATGAACGATAGATAGAACGAAAACGACACGTTCTCGTTCTACTTTTGATTAATGATAAATCCATGGAAGTACAGCCCTGTTAGTTGCAAATTCAAATAACTACTATTATAATTAGGAAGGTTAGAATTTAATTGTACAATGTTATAATTATACCTAAAGCTTGCATTTAATTAATAGTTCGACTTAATCCGTTGATTAATAGTAATTAGATAGTAGTAATATAGATTAATGCAGGCGGCTCAGGTTCATACTTCGTGGCAGTCTTTGGGGGAAGCCTATGTTCAGCAGTGGACTCAAACAGGCTGAAATGATGGTGATGATTATGAATTTAGATTTGTAAATCGAAATATAAAATAGGATTGTTGGACAAGAGATACCTTGAATATCGTGTTTCAAGACTCGATAAAAATAATTAGTGTATTTTTAAAAATATTTATGAGATAGATGACGTTTAACACTGGTCTAAATAACTTTTTATTTGGAAACGGTATAGGCTTACATTTGATTGGGATAATAGTGACATTAGATATATTTAAAGTGTTGTAGCCGTAACCAAACTTCGCGGAATGCAATGATGGTGGTGGACAAAAATATTTATTAAAGAAAAGCATTTATCTGTTTTAAAAAACTCAATCTTTGCTTTTATTTTGCTTAAGTTTTTATCGAATAGGTAAGTCTTTTATTAAACGCTGTACGTAGTTTGGAACAAAACAAAAACGTTTTTAATGACGGAATCGGTGAAAGGCTCCGCTTTTAAGTAATGCCATCAACTCTGTCAATGGAGAATAGGTCCGACGCCTATTGTAATGGATGGAGGCTTTGTTACGGAGCGAGACGCACGTCTTGAAATACCACAGTAATTAAATCAATTAAAAACCGACTGTATATAAAGATATCTATGGTATGTGTATCTATCAACTGTTAGATCAAGTTTAGATCAGTATATAATTTGCGAAATTTGTGTTATATTCACATTTGCCAAACAATAATTGTTGACGACCATACATGTATGCACCAACGTTGAGGCATCCAGATGATTTAGAGTAGGCAATGTATTGAAAAAGTGTAGATACGATACATAGATAAGTGCAGAACTATATATAAAAAAGGCGATAACTTAGTAAACCTAAAGAGCTAGCAAGAAGTAGTAAGAAGGGGTTAATGTATAAAGCTCTCTGCTTTACAGAAGAGGTACCATAGAATGTGGATTCGGTAGAAGAAGATGATGACTATAGAACAGGACTAAAAGCAATACTGAGTAGAATTTGGGTTATATTTCTTCAACCTTTTTAGAAGATGACTTAAGTGACTATTAACAATAATGAATAACGACTGGTATTGAACTGACACATTACTTCGGTGTATTATGATTATTTATTTTTATTTATTTAACATTCAGTTATTTTTTAACGTCATAAATTTTCACAAAATATCAGTTAGACCAGTTCGTAGTTCAAGCGAATTCGCATTACATACAAAACATTTTATAATTACCGTATAAATAAACCAATGTAGTTGTAGCTCAGAAGTATATATTTAGCATTATATTATTGGGGACATCCGATCAGTCGCAACAAATTTGGTCCCTTTGTGAGCGATCACGCGTCGTTGCGCGCCAAAAGCGGACCTGCGAAAGAAAATCAGACCCTCGACCTTTCCGTAATTGGTGCTTTGGGTTGAGGCAAGTCGTTTGAGTAAATTAGGAGGCATTAAGGCGTGCTGTCCACGCTTAATAACTAATAAATGTTTTGTCTAAGCATCGGGGCTCGGTCTAATGAGTCGTGCGACCCAGATTTATTCTCAGCCAACATTTACCTGCTGACAGTTATTATGAAACGAGGGATCTGCGTGACATCGATGTTCAGCAGGGGACTCAAACAGGCTGAAATTATGATGATGATCTTCGTGATATCCTCTGATTCGCCTATTGTATCACCAAACTATATCTTTTCAAACTTTACTTAACAGACCGAAAATACAACTATAATAGGTAGTAACTCGTCCACGCTTCGTCGTGGCTGGTATTTTTGTTTTATTAAAAAGTATATTAAAATCTCTCCTGTTCAATAGATGTGTTGTCAAGTGAATTAATTGAATAGTTTTTGACTTTTGTAGATAAAAAACTTATGGAGGCTAAATGTTTATCTATAAAGATATACACCAAAGAGTTCATGGTCAGTATTAATTGAAAAGCATGTCTTTAATAATGGATGGAGTGTCCGTATCGCATTATTCTCATTATTTATTCACTCCCTCTTACCCATTACAACAAAACGAAACAGAGATACAAATAAATTAACCTTCTATTTGCCTGATCTATACGGTTTCATCAAAGAAAGCAGTTTAAGCGTATTCGGAATAGACTGCTATGACGAGAGACAAAAAACTTTACTGCTTAGTTAGGCACGCAGATTTGATCCAGTACATTCAGCGGCCTGCATTAATATTTCGTGGAAATTGCCGTTTAATAGGTCACTTTTTTATTATAGCGAGCTATTCAATAATGGATTTTTTCTTCCAAGTGACCCGGAAATTAAACGCAATATTCTGTACCAAGAGATTCGATATAAGCTGAGACAATATTTGAAGATGAAGATGATGTATATGAAAAATATTGTGTGATATGTATATAGCGTTTTTCCCGTGTCTGGAATTTTATACGTCTATAACAAGTATTTATTTACAAAAGAAAAGTATGTTATCAGTTTTCTAGTACGGGTACTACGGGTAGTACAAGCATTGCTTAGTTTTGGACTAGAGAGCGTTGTGTAAAAATGCGTCCGAAATATTTATTTATTATTTATTTATATATCTGTGGTAGGGCTACGCAGCCGCTTCTGATGTTGCACGATTGGGCAGCTTCATCCAAGGAAGCACCACATCCTCACTGAAGACCGGCGTGAAGTAAAAGTGCAATACTTTCGCGTTTCGTCTTATTAGTGGGGTAGCCAGAGCCCACTTTCTTAAAAGTTTACAAAGCATGTGTACATCTCAGCAGCTGTAGAGTTCTTTGGGCCGTGATAATCACTTAACATGAGGTGAACCGCCAGCTTTCTTACCACCTTCTATATAAAAGTAATACCTATTTACAACAAAGTAAGTTCCATTGTACAACCGAATAAGTTGAATGTTTGCTTTCTATTTTATGGCATTAATTTTTTTACTAGTCCTACCGATTAACAAGATAAAAAAGATTGAGATTTAAAAGTTTAAATTTCGAATTTCAATAAACGCAGCTTTATCAATGCTCATATTCGCTATTCCCGTTTCCCTCAGTCGGCTTTGCGCTGCGAAGCTTTCCGCGCGTCGTTCCCGTCACGATTTCCAAACTGTTTCGTTTACGCGAATATTGAGGAAATTTAGTTAAAAAGGGTTGTATTAATATGAAAAGCTTTTGAACGTGTTATTGACAGAAAGTGTTACCGGTGCTTCAGTTATTATTGGCATAAATATATCGAAAATCTTCAGTAAACTTTTTTTATGGTGAGTGCAATATCGATACAATAATATAATAATTTAATGCGTAACATTTCTTAGGGGAAATAATATCAATTAATTTTAAATAAATAAAATAAATATGTTACTGTGATATAACACGC